TCTAACACAGTGCTCAGCAAAATGATAGTTTCTTTTTCTATCCCTGATAATGATAGAGAATGAGGTCTGATTCCCTTCTAAAGGAGAAGGAAAGTCAACTAAAAATTTCTCTTTTGTCCTGTAAGTAGTTGAATGACTTTCCAGAGAGAAATTCCAGGTCTATGGCACATAGACTAGTCACCAGGCCCTGAACCAGAGCCAAGTGTGGGCCACTGAGGAGATGAGAAAAGGGATAAAGTTTTCCCTGTGGGTGTCAGAGATCTGGACAGACTTCCAGGAAGAAAGCAGGCAGGGACAGAAGGAAGGACAAAAGCCTCCTTTTCACTCTCAGCACAGCTGTCCCCAGAGTGATGGAAATGAAGTGAGAGGACAGTACAGACCTGTTTCGCCAGTATGCAAATCATGTAATGAAACTCAAATGACTTAGCAAAAATGGAGTGTGACTCACCCACATCTGACTCTGCTAGTTCAGACTGGAGGAGCCGGATTGAATCCAGCCAGAGCTTTCTAAGGAGGTTTTGTTGGAATTCCACAAGATCCCAGTTTTGGAGCGAGGACCAGGAAGAAGAGAACTCCATTCATGGGGTGTGTTCCCTGTGCTGGGGACTTCAGGCACACATCATGTGGTGGTGGGGCAGGGGTGCGGGCAAGGAGCAGAAGTACCTATCTACTGCAATCTACCTCATATCTACAATCAGCAGTTAACAATGAGAAGAAAAATATCACTACTAAAAAAGGACTTTAAGATTACATTTTTTTTTCGTGAAGGAACTTATTTTATTCATGTCTGTGTCTTTCACAGAGTTGTGAATAGAATAGATGCTCACATCTATTCTTGAATGAACAAATCTCCTTCTATGAGAAAGCAGAAATTCAGAGAAGCAGCGTGACTTGTCCAGGGTCACACAGTTGGTATGCAGCAAAGACAAGATTCAAATCTAGTTGCTCTGATTGCAAGTCAAACACTGTCTGCTTTCTGCATTGTCACACTGGTGGGTAGGAAGTACATTCTCCCAGCCCAGCCAGCTTCCCACAGATGGGGAAGTGCAGGCGTATCGGACAGGACCTCAGAGCTGCTGACCGGTATGAGAGGTCAGGGTGACTTACTTCTTAGTTTTCTCTCCAGCTCTACTCACCCCATTCCTAACCACTGTTTTTCAGGGTCCTAGGACTTTGATGAAGTCCCTGTAGGAATTCTGATTCTAGGAAAGTCTCCTTGCTGTTTGGTTTAGGACAAGGACATTACATCCTTGTGGTCAGAGGTCTGACTTCCTGTCCTGAATTAGGGGTACCTGCCATTGGGGAGTGACAGTGAATAAGGCCTGTTGACCCACAGAGTGTCCCCAGGCTTAGGTTTCCAAAGGAGCAGGCCACTCCAGAAAGTTCACGATTGTGGGGAGGTCTAGGCCTCTGGCCTGGAATGGCTCCTGTGAACTGGGCCATGAGCCAGCAAAATTAGCAGTTTGATTGGTGTGGGGTGGAGGGAGTTACCAGGTTCTTCAATCAACCTTAAAGCCTTTGTTGCCAGCTAACTTCTCAAATCAGAAGTAGTCACTGGGTGGAAGGTCATTGTGTAATCTTTCTTTAGCAATTTACTTGTTTTGGTGAAATCAAGCACAGTCATTGAGTAAATCTCATTTACCAAGGCAAAGGGGTGGCGTGGATTCACGGAAGAGTGCCTTGCATACCCATCTGATGCTAGGCAGGGTCCTCCTGTGTTGTCTCATCAGATCCTGGCAACCCCGAGATTGAGATGCTGTTCAACCTGCTTCAGAGATGGCGAGGCTTTGAGAAATTAAGTGACCACACAGTTAGTGGTAGAGCTGGGACCAGAGTCAGGGCTATCACCCCAAAATTCACTTTACTACCACTGTGCTTTCCCCTGAAGCCCCAGCTGCTGACACCAGAATTAGTCCTGAGATCTCGAGACATTCCTCCATAGATTTGTTAGTTACTGATGAATATGGGGACAGGGGACAAGCTTCCCTCTGCCCACTGTAATTCCGTGTCTGACTGCTTCCCAGAAAGATTCTTTCCCCATGGCTCCGTATTCCTTGCTCATTCATAAGTATTCTCTTCCTGAAGCTATTCTTATGGCTGGTCTCTCTTCCTCTCAAGTTCCTCTCTCTTTTTTTTTTTTTTTATTAAACTCCAGCCTTAAGTATCTGAGTCAGTGGAGGGGGAGACGTGTGCCTTGTCCGGTTGGGAAACCCACCCTTCCTCTGCCCCACCCCAATTTCCCAGGCCTGTGACCTTAAGTCTACATGGAAGGGGCAGGGGGAAGTTTTGGAGGATTTCGAACAAGCATTTTTTGAAGACCTGCTGATTTTTCAATTGAGGGAAATTAACAAATCTTGAAGCTACTCTGTCCAAATTAAGAAAAATGGTTAGAGAGTAAGATCCTCTGCTGACTGAGCAGTATATGGAGCCAGGCACTTGATCTGTGTTACCACCACTCTGTACTACAGTGTGTGAGACAGTGATTGCTGGACTTATTTTCTACAGGAGAAAACAGGATCAGTGAGCTTTTCCTGATGACAGCCTGTGCTCCTTCTGTCACCCATCCCACCGCATCCACTGACGAGGCTTGTTAGAGGGAGATCAGCCCATAATGGACACAAGACAAATGGACTACTCCTTGTTCCCTGAACTTGGTTCCATTGTCCTTAGAACTTATGTTGGGTGGGAGCTACACCCATAGCACCCCCATCCCAACCCTCCAAAGCAAGGGAGCTTTTGACTTATGATGGTAGATTCTGCTGTAGGGTCATGTCACCAGAACTGAGGGACTAGCCTTTGACGTGTGGATTATTTTGTATGGTACTGAGTGCCTTGCTTAAAACTATTTAATTTTTCACCATTGCTTACAGCAGCATTTCTCAACTGGGACTCAGTTGGGACTCGATTGGTAAATGTTTTATAAAAATTATTGTGACAAAAGTAAGGATTTAGTATATTACCAATCTTTTTTTTTTGTAAGGTCTCTATTATTCCATGTGGTACAGTTTAGGAGAGACTGACCTACTAAATAAAGACCCAGTTCCTTAGTTTGACATCCGATGCCCTTCACGAACAGCCTGTGCTTGCCGCTAGCCCGTTTCTTCTCATCCACCCTCTTCAGCTGTACTGAGCTACGTGAAGTGCTGTCGGTGGAACTCTGCCTGGAATGCACACTCCTCACTGCTATCCCCTTACCTGCCAGCAAACACCTATCTTTAGAACTCAAGTCAGATATTTCTTTCGCTTAGTAATTGACCCTGGCCCCCCAGCTTCTTTCATAGTTCCTGTCAAACCCCTAAATGTACTTATTTTTGCTTTCATGTATCCACTCCCCCCACTGCTCCCCAACGGTTGTATGGTCCGTGGGCAGGAATTGTAACTTCTCATTTCTATGTCCCTAGCACATATCATACTGCCTGGTTTGTTCATTTATAACTTAATTTTTATTTTAAAGTTTTTTTCTCCAAATTTGTACAAGATGTCCATGGGACTCTGATTGAATTTGTGTGCCATTTAATGAGTTTATAAGTTAGGTGTTCTTACAAATAAAAGTTTCCTTACAAATAAAATTCTAGCCCTCTATTTAAATTATCCTTTATGTCCCTTATTTCATACAGGCTATGTGGTTCTTTGGAAGCAATCAGTATTTATTTAATCATCTCTGCTGTTAGGATGATTTTTACCTCTTTTAGATCTTTAACTGATTATGTTTTATATATGAAGAACCATTGATTTTTATCACTTATTTAGCAGCCAACAACATTAATGTATTCTCTTTATTATGTTTTCATTTATTATTCTTAAATTTCCAATAATACATTCATATAATTTCATAATAATTATAAAGTTGCCTGCTGCTATCCAGGCCTGGGTTTTTGAAATAGTCGCCCAAGTGGTTGAGGAGTCAGTGCTAGACTCTCTTCTGTCACGGACTCCGGAATCTTCCACTCTTCTGTCTCCTCAGGATAGGCCACTGGCACACTTTTCTTCCTGGCCACCAAAAGGAAAGTGTCCATTTGTCTCAGGAAGGGCAGAGGTCTATCTTTAGGCCATAAGCCCCCTCCCCTTGGCTCTCTTCCCCTTTCTCCTGGTCTTCCCGAGGGCTTTGCTTTGATTTGTAGTCGGAAGTTCCCTGTGTCCCCTTGCCTCTTCCCCCCTCGTTTCCCAAGTTCCCACAGGAACCTGGGAAGGAGGTTGTGTCCAGAGGTTAGAACGGAAACTGCAGCAAGATAACTATGGGGGACAATGCCCAGCTGACGTCATTTCAGCTTTTTTGCTTCGGCCAGAGGTGTTTTTTTTTTTTCTTTCATTTTTCTTCAGGTTACTCTCTGACCCCACCCAACCCCGTGTCTGTCAACTTCTGTTTGAAAGCTCTTTGGTATTGTCTGGTCAGTTTATGTGTTTCCTTATTTTCTAATTCAAAATCCAGAGTCCCGAGCAGTGACTTAGAAACTTGCCCTTTGATAGAGTCGCTTTCTTCTGAAGCAGAAGCACCTCCTTTGTGACTCGCAGGATAACCTCACTCGTCTTTATTTCCATGGCAATCCTAGGAGGCAGGCAGCGTAGGGAATGCATAGCCATTATCTCCAGGAAAACACACAAATGCGTTAAATGTTATCTTTTGTAAAGGAGAAACTTCTAGTAACCCTGGTTACTCTCCTTAATTAGTTTCAATCAAGAAGTAAAGAAAAAGAAACTAAACATTTATTAAGTGTACAGTACGTGCCAGGTAATGTGTCAAGGCCATTGTCATGTAATCTCATCCTCCACTCTCTGAAGCTGACCTCCCTAGAAAACCTCCATTTTTCAAAAATTATTTTTTTAGTACAGGAACCAAGGCTCAAATTTTAAATAACTGGCTTGAGGTCATGTCTAAGTTGAATGCTCTTTTCACATGATGCCAAACCCAAGGTATAAATGTAGCGTGTGTCAACCCAGTATTCTACGGCTGGTGAATGGTGAGTCACTTAGTATCTGTTCATTTTATCTCCTGCCTCCAGCTGTACCTCCAGGCCCGCTTTACTTGGCGAGGTGCTCGTCTGCTCCGGCCACTCCTGCAGTTCACCCTGCTCATGATGGCCTTTTACACCGGATTGTCCCGCGTATCTGACCACAAGCACCACCCCAGTGACGTCCTGGCAGGATTTGCGCAAGGAGCCCTGGTCGCCTGCTGCATAGTAAGTAGCATCTTGTCCTCAGTGTGTAAGCAGAGCCTTGGACTGCTGCTTGGAAGACGTTTCCAGCTCAGTGGCCAAAGCCAGGGAGCTCTCAGTCCCTGTTTGTGCTTGGTGTGCGAACAGTCACCTACTCCAGGACCCCTGCCGTAGAAGGAGAGTAATGACTGCATCTTTCAATCTTGTGTGCTTTCACCCAGCAGGGTCTGTACATCCTCTGCTCCACAAATAAGGGCAGATCTGGGCTTGTAAAATCTTGCAGTTGGAAGAGAACTTAGATGCAGCCCAATTCACTTTATCTATGAGGACATTTAGGGTTTGAGAGGAGAAAACTTGCTCCAGGTCACATGCACATCTCCAGAATCATACTGCTCAAATGCTGCTTTGGCGGACGCTTACTATTTAGTAGAACTCAGCTTCTTGGAAAACTGTCTGTCCCACTGTGACCTGCGGTCAGAAGAGGGAGTTTGGTGAAGGCTAAGGCCTCCCTCAGCCCGAGGGCCTTACCCATCAAGTCACAGAACTCCCAAGAGAATGGCCTTGGGACTGGCCACATTCTGATTTGCTCCAAATGAATGAGCTCCCCTTTTCACATACTGATCCCAGGGAGGATAGGATAAGGTATTCCATCTCTGGGCCTCCATCTCCCTGAGAATCTCTGCTTTTCCTGCCTGCTAAAAGTTTTGAGGGGCATATTCAGCAAACATGAATGAGTACTTATTCTGATATTGTACCTTCCTGGGCCCTTCTCAGGGGAGCTCCCCAGAGTCTAGCAGGAACCCCCAGAATGTAGTAATGACTGGATGTGTGAGCACCACACATATAGGTTGTATTGTTGTTAGTATAACCCTTGTTCATGCACAATAAGAATCACAGACAATGGGAAATATAGACCATCCCCTGTCCTCTCCTAATTCCTAAGCCTGGCTGCAGCCCCATGTGCCCTTACAGCCACCTCTCTCACTGTCCTCTACGACAGCATTTGTCCATACTGAAATTGTTGGTGTGTCTCCTTTTAGAATGTGGATTCCTTGGGGGCGAGGACCATATGCCACATATTTGCTATTATCCCTGCCTCACCAAGGCGTCTCAGGGATCCTAGCTTGGTGTAAATAAATGCACCATTAATCGGCAAGAAGCTAGAGTCAGTGAGGTGATGTGCCCTTCCCTGAGAGCACCGCACGGGACGCTCTCCTGAAGCAGAGGGATGGCTAAGGCACAGCCCTTGCCCCCCAGGAATGTGAGTCTAGTCGCTCCCACAGTCAGACCACGCGCAGGAGTGACAATACAGTGTGCAGCTGTCCTGGAGACAGGGACAGGGCACTTTGGCAGGCAGCCGAGGGACTGACTCAGTGCAGTGGGCAAGGAGAGGGACGAGGAGTGGGGCAATCAGTGTGGACACCGCAAAGAAGTAGCATCTGAGCTGCTGGCCAGCCTGGCATGTGAGTCCCAACCTCTAGAGGGTTGGCTGTTTTGGTGTCTTTATTCATTGCTTTTTTCCCATCAAGGCCAGAAGGGAGAGAAGTAGGTGGGGGGGGGGGGGAGCAAGCTGGTAACGAGAGCAACTGTCACTGACCAGCTTGTTCTCTGATGCTTGGTCCTTTCATATAGAGTGACAGTGGGGGATGGGTGTAAGCACCGACAAAGGGCAGGGTAACCCTTTGCTGACTGTGCCCTTCTCGGCAGGGGGAGGCCCACAAAGCCTGCAGTTGTGTTTTCCTTCTTGGCGCCACTGCCTTAATTAGAGTCTCCTGTACCCCCAATTAAGAAAAAAAAAATTAAAAGACTGGGGATCCTCTGTAGCCTTCCCCTCTTTTTTCTCCTGAGCATTGGCCATGAACAATTAGACAGTGTCCAGGACAGCCAGGGTTTATTTTCAAGAAAGGAAGTGATTTTTTATATTGTTTGGCTCTGGCCTACTGTAGCACAGGATAGGAATTTGGTTCTAGCATGTGTAAAGCACCTACTCCATGCTAGCACTGCTCTAGATCCCTTACCCATTGTCTCCTTTGAGGCTCACAAAGCCATTTTACAGATGAGGTGACCGAGGCTCAGAGAAATGACTGAAGTCACCCAAGGTCAGAGCTAGTTGACAGCTGCTCCCAGGTGCTCTCTGACTCCACAGCTTTGCCCTCTGTACTCGGCAAGGATGGATGGCCACTGGAGCTGAGGTCAGCCAGAGTGAACCTGAAGCACAAACAGCATAGACAGCTGCTTAACGGGGCACACTTTAAGGGTGTCACCGGGCCTTCCCAACACTGTGGGCTGACCCAGCCATTGCCCCAAGTTTGAAAGCGGGTTTTACAGTGCTAAGGTGGTTCAGAAAGGGGTGATAAATGCTTTTCCCCGTCTTTTGCCCCCTTAGCTGTGAACACTTGGGGGCAAGGACTCTATCTTATTTATCATTTTTCTCTAGTGCCTAACACCCAGCCTGGCACTTGGAGCTCATGGTCCTGACTAGCTGGGAATCACAGCACTGAGTGAGCCACTTCATTTAAGCCATTTGAGAGGCCAGGGCAAGAAGCTGTGGCTCGTCAGCAGAAGAGCTTGGGGATGCTCAGCTTGCGGAAAAGAAGGCAATGGGTCCTTTCTCATCATAAGATCTGTCATCCAGGTTTTGATTGGAAGGAAGACAGAAGCCAAGCTTGGGACCCTGGTTTGAGCAGAGATGGATCTGGGAAACCACAAGGCCATCTGAGGATGCTGTTTGCCCAGGAGAGGGAACTGTGAGGAGGCTGAAGGATTTCTCACGCACTTTCTCAGAGTAATACAGCATAGCTCTCAGCCTAGGCAGACCCCTACTATGCTTGTGTCTTATAGAACTTTCCCCCAAGAATCAAGGTTGGCTGTTCTAGTGAAGTCCCAGAAAAGCCAAGTTCTCTTCTCACCTGTGAATGGGGCTATATTGAATGGATCTTGAAACACAGAGGCATCGCCTGAGGTTAGTTAGCAGGACTGAAAAAGAGGCAGGCAGCGCAGTATGTTACAAAGCCACAGCATGGGCTGCCAGGAGGCCCAGAGTCCATTTCCCACTCTGCCTGATAGCCTCCTAAGCCAATCTTCAATGAACCCCCATTCACTTAAAGCAGAGTGGGAACTCTGCTTTTCTAGAATAACATTTTCTAACATGTGTTGAAAGCTCGGTGTGCCAGCCACCATGTTAAATACTTTACATAGATCATCTTCAGTCCTCCCCGGGTCCTATATTGAACCTTATAGTCACTGAAGAGATAAGAAAACAGGGACTACGAAGGGTTAAGTTACACGGAGAGGAAGCAGAGAAGCCAGGAGGGGGTTCCACACAGATCCAAGCTGCGTTCAAGGGCCTCATCTCCTGCTCCCTCCAGGCACACCGAACTTGACAGTGTTCTCCAGCTCCCTGAGCTCACCTGACACCCTTTGATGTAATGCCGCTCCAATTTCCCCTCATCTCTGATGAAGCCTTCTGTGTTTGTTTTCCTTGTAGCAAATCACCACAAAACTAAATGATATAAAACAACAGAAATTCATTTTCATGCAGTTCTTGAGTTCAGAATTCCAAACTGTCTCACTGGGCTGAAATCAAGGTGTTGTCAGGGCTGTGTTACTTCTAGAGACACTAAGGAAAATCCATTTTCTTGACTTTTCCAGCTTCTAGAGGCTGCCTGCAGCCTTTGGCTTCTGGTCCCTTCCTCCGTCTTCAAAACTAGCAGCATAGCATCATCAAATCTCCCTTCTATCATCACATCTCCTTCTGTGATTCTGACTCTCCTGCCTCCCTCTTATGAGGACTCTTATGATCACATTGGGCCCACCTGGATAACCCAGGGTAATCGCTCCAATCTCTCCGTATCTCAAGATCTTTAATTTAACCACATCTGCAAAGTCTATTTTGCTATATCAGGTAATGTATTAGTAGGTTCTGGGGATTAGGACAGGACATCTTCAGGGGCCATTGTTTAGCCTCCCACAACCCCCTCAGTCTTCTCTGAAGACAGAATTGTCTGACTTTCTTCTAGTGCCCCCAGTGCCCCTTGCATGCTTTTCCTGCTATGCTATTCATCCTGGTTCTATCATAATTGTCTGCTCATATATCTGTCTCCCCAGCGAGACTGCAGGTGCCTGAATAGCAGGCTCCATGGCTTAACTTTCTGGTCATTCATTCTCAGTGCCTAGAACAGTGGCTGACACACAATAGGCGCTTGATAAGCATTTGTTAAAGAATGAATCATCAATTAGCTTGTGATCTCAGGCAAGACACTTCCCCTCCGAGCTAAATTTCCTCAACTGTGAATTGATCTTGGAGGCCCTACAGCTCTTTGACCTTCCCGCACAGAGATCCTTAGGTGTGGCTGATTTTGTAATGTCTGGGCTGGACTTGCTTTCTCAGCTGTAACCATGTCCCATGAAGACAACCTCTACTCAGGGATCATGACATGTCTTTAAGCCCCCAGTGCGTACAGTGCATCACGCACAATGATGGCTTAGTCACTGTAGAGTCTAGGCACCAGGCCGTGACAGCCAAGCACTTTTTTTTACAAGGGTCATGTCACAGCAAGCAGATGTGTTTAGACAAAAATCACATGCCAAACAGGAGTAGGTCTGGTTTCCTCCCCATACTGCTCTTCAGTTGAACCCTTTTCAGACAGAGAAGACAATGGCACCCAACACAGACAGAAAACCCACACAGTGTCATGGACTCAATACTAAGACATGGGCACGTAGGGTCATATAGGCCTGTATACTGATTCATACATGCAGGCAGAGGTACACAGGACAAAAGCAGAGAGCCAGCACCCAGAGAGACCCAGAGTCACACAGGCAGATCCAGTCATACCCAGACACACAGACAGACAGGTCAGGGTAAACACAGGCATATACTAACCTTCCCAGTGCCACCCCCCACACCAGCACACACACAGTCACTTCTATCAAGATGTGAATGCTTCAGCTGCACTCACCATGCCCACTCCCTGGAGTAATCCAGGGACTGGGATGAGGGGACAGACATTAGTTCATTTCCT